AACCAGTCAATAATGTGTCCAGGTCATATTCACCACAAAATCAAAAGAAATAAATTAGAAATTTTGTTTTGCTTAATGAAAATTTAGTCTTTTTAGGACCTATATTCAGATGTTTTGTATTGTGACATTGTTTTCATGACAAACACATTTCAAAATAATCAATATTTATACATCATGGCAAAATTATAGTAATGAAATCACCATTCATAATAATATGGAGAGAAAAAACTGCATTATGGTGATGAAAATTTGGAGGTGAAATGTTCTTAAATTAGGCTATATTATATAATTTCACAAAAAAATCATAATGGTCCAAAATAGGTTTGAATATTCATTAAGCACAATAGTAATACATTTTTTATTTATTATTATTATTATCCAAAAATCAATAATAAATAAAAAATGTATTAATATTGTGCTTAATGAATATTCAAAATAGGTTTGAATATTCATTAAGCACAATATTAATAATTTTTTTATTTATTATAGATTTTTGGATGAAATATGATTCCTGTTTTCATGAGATTCACTATGTCAGTATTTGCAGAGACTGAATTCAATGTATTTTGCTCCAGTAAAATCAGCTACATGCTATTTGACAAATGAAAAATGACTTTAATTCATAATGTGTGTTACGTAAAATTTTCTGTAAAGATCCACAATCTCTTTGATGCATGCTCTAGCTTCTAGTTGTTCATGAGTAACTTACTGTATGTCATATAGAGCATTGATCAAGCACTCTATTGTGTTTTGGCTTGGAGCGTGAAATTATCGATCACGTTTTGCTGCTATTATTGTCATCGTCTGTTTGCCAAAGGCGGTTTAATTGCAAGTAAACTCACATGCAACTATCTTTTCCGCCAAAACATGACGCATTGCATTAAGATGTCAAGACAGACGAACTAGCTCAAGAATTATCTAAAGTAAACATAATCATTCCTAGGCAGTCCCTCGAACGTCAAATAGCCAAACTCTCGTTCATTCAGTGCAATGGCCAAGTTGAGTAATCAGGTCTGTATTAGAGTCATAATGGTTGAATTGAGGGTAAAAGGTGCTGGTTCACCAGTCCTATCCACACCGCCCTCCCTCCAGGGGAAAGTTAAAGTGAGCTGGCCTTAATTCTCACACCACTCCATTTCACTAGAGGAAACTAAACCCAAAGAATTCACAATGTTTTATTATAATAATGTTCTCATTAGAATTTTATATACACGACATTCCCAATCATAGTTATTAATGTTGTGCACTGCTGTTTGAGCTGCGTGTGCTGAGCTAAAGATGATCACCGGTAAACTGAAGCGCTCTTTTAACTTAACCAAACGCATTCTATATGAGATAAATCAGATATACATCAAATAAACACAATATTACAATGTACAATTGCACAAAAGGCTGCAAACGAACAGCGCGCATCTGAAGTGTCTCTGAAGGAAATAATGCATTATTTATCGGCTTTAAGATATCGGCCAAATTTTCTTATCAGGCCGATACCGATAACAGAAAAAATGAGCATTTATCGGCCGATACCGATATGGTGGCCGATATATCGTGCATCCCTAGTTTTGGTGACTTCGGCAGCGTTGTTAGGGGAATTTTTCACTAGTGTTTTGACGTGCTCATTTACTTACTTACATAATCAGCCTTGATGATTTTACTGGAGTAAAGCCACAAACCACACAATGAGAGTGTACTTAAGAAGTAGGGAGGTTCTCCCGTGCGATAGTCATTTTTGTTGTGTAATGGTTTTAAGTTCTGTGCAGGTTAGCATGTATTCCTCAACGTATAGGGTTTATTATACAAACACAAACTGTCTCGCCACAAAAAAAAACATAATTTAGGACTGGATGAGTCATGAATTTCCCAAAAGTCTCTGAGCGGAGAGCTGATGTAAAGGCATTGCTCCAGGTGTGGATACGAGAAGCTAAAATTAGGCCAAAAGAAATTCGACCTAAACCACATCCAATTTAAAACGTACGTAACCATTTTTTTTGCAATGTGTCATTCTTGCTCATCATTATAATATATAACATTAATTATACCAAATTAAGCATTATTTGTGATCATTTAAATAATTTATTTATCCTGAATCAGTTTTAGAATCTTTGAAATATTATTATAGTTTTATTAATAATTTGAATGTTTTTATATTCATAATTTAAATTTTCATATTAACTTTAGTCATAGTAATTTTGTTGTGTTTTTGCCATATTTATTAGTCTTTTAATGTATATATTGTCTTTAGATTTTTTTTTTTCAGTTTCAAAAGTGAATTTAAATCATTTCTTTATCTTGAATCAGTTTTAGTATCATTGAAATGCTATAGTTTTTATTAATAATTTTCATTTTAGTCAGTTTTATAATTTTGTTGTGTTTTTGTCATTTTTATTCGTTTTTTTGTTCCTTTTTTTGTTTTTTAAATGTCTGTTGTTTTTATACATTTGTATTTCAGTTTTAGTTATTTTAGTGCACCAAATAAACTAAATGAAAATGAGAAATGTTAAGTTTTATTTTTATTTTGAAGCAAATATCATGGTACCTTAAATATTACTTTTTATGTTAGTTTCAATTAACATTTAAGTAACTTTTTTATTATTTTGGTTTTCGTTAACTATAATAACCCTTATTAACTATAATACCCTATTTGTAATCAACATTGTAAATTTGAAGTGTTGCACCAATTGGCAACTTCTAGACATCGTGAACCATTTGCTGTGCAAACCTGGACACATCTGGTTCTTTCTATGTAAAACATCAGTGTTTATAAGAAGTCTAAGGTAGATGATGGCTAGTTTAGGGTGGTCTTACAGATCAGGGTTTGTTGTATGATGCACGTCAAATGTTTGTGAAATGCAGTACTTCTTCCTAAAAGTGTTGCACTGTAATTGTAGTGAAGTTAATTTCTTCTTTTTGCACGGAAACTTTGCACAAGAGGAAACATGTATTGCTGTGATACCACAGTAAATGCTTTGAATGGAATATTTCCAGATCAGTTCTGCTTACAGACATCACATTGTGTGTGTGTGTGTGTGTGTGTGTGTGTGTGTGTGTGCAGGTGAGAAGACCAAAAACGACTATCACATATATTTAGTATAATAAAAACTAGTTAGTGATGTTTGCGAAGGCTATTGATAATACCATTGCTCATAATAAGCATTAGGGCTTTTTCAAAGTGTTATTACGCAATTTCATGAAATTTAATAAAACATCAGTTTAAAGTTTGGACACACTACAACTAAACTTGGAAATAAAATTAAATGGTTAAGACAGTGATTTGACTTAAGATTTTCTCATGCCTTGTTTGATTCTCTGCCTTGTTTCCCATTCAGTGAATTATTTTTGTATAATTTTTTATCAAATAAGCCCTAAACAGGCTGAATGCTAAGAGTTGAAGACAAAACGCTCCTATTAGACAATGGTGACCCTAAAGGTCATGTTCTTAAGCTCACTGTATTAGCACGCCGTGGTTCTCTTGGCGGGGGTTGTTGTCATGCCCTGATGCGGGTGACCGAGGCCATGAATGTGAGACAATAGCCATGCGACCAGACGCCCAATCACAGATAATGATGCTGTTCAAACAGGAAGGTTCACGTGGGAACTGGTTTACTTAGCATTGTGGGAAAGCAGACGAAGGCACACAGTCTGCTAAGACAGAACCCGAGGAAAAGCTGATAGACACACTGTTCGAATTGAAGATAATGTTTGTGTTTGGCCCATGGGAGTGTTAGTGATAGGCTGATATGTTGGCCAAGATAAAGCCATATCTGCCAACCACTAAATTACATCCCAAATTACCAAATTAGAACTGAGTTCAGTTTTTACGTTCCAAATAAAGGCATCTTGTTAGAATTTCAATGTAAGTGGAACTGAAGCTTAAGAATCTAGTTGTAATCAATAAATGTCCTGAATATTTACAGTGGTGCTGTATGATTACCTTATTATTATTATAAAGCCTGACATATGAAATAAAAAAAAATCAAATTTTTTGAAATGGAACTGTTTATTGAAACTTTAGACAAAATATTTTAAAAAGTTGTGTTTTATAGAAATTAATGTATTAAATATGATACAATAGGCTTTACAGGGTTAAGCTATTACCATTATGAAAAAAAACAGGGTGTAATTTAAAAGAAATATTTCTCTAAATTGCATGCGTTTTCTGCATTTAAAATTTTTTTTATATTTTAATTAATTCATTAATTTATTTATAATAAAATATGTTTGTTATATATTTAGAAACAGTGTTATATATTTAAAATTACAAATATTTTATATATATATATATATATATATATATATATACATATATATGTGTGTGTGTGTGTGTGTGTGTGTGTGTGTGTGTGTAAAATATATTTCAAACACGCTAGACGTGTAATATTGTTTTATAAAAAATGTAAACTCCAATCTTACATGAGAGAATGTGATATGAAATATCCTGTGGACTGGCACGGTATGACCTGAATTCTGCCAGCACTTTTTTTTGTTTTTCCTCAAAGTGGTTTTTAAATGATTGACAGAAAAATGGTTTTCCAGCATGGCCCCTCAGAGAAATATGTTTTGGCTATGGAGCCGTCGAGTGGATTTTATGATTATTTTCCTAGTCCGATGTGGATCGACTCGGCCAGACGTTCAGTTTGAGTTTAAATTATTATTGAGACGCAGTGGATGAAATAGCTTCTTTTGAAGGGAACTCCCAGCAGGCCACCAAAATACACAGATAGAGTTACACGGATATTATTTAGACATCTAATTGTGATTACAGGGAACCGCTTTATATTGCAGCCCACAAGAACCCGCTGAATAAGTCCAAAAATCACTGTATGTAATCATATAATATGCCTAGATCATGCCTCAATGATTGTGATAATACTGAACAAATCATATTATGCTTGAGCCGGCTAGCAGTTAGGGTGAGAATTTTCTTATGCAAAATCTGGAATGTTAAACGCCTTAATGAGTGCAAACAGCATTATAAATGATTGTACCTTCATTCTTTACAGAATCTAATGGCTAAAGCGCTATACGACAACCTCCCGGAATCTCCGGAAGAGCTGGCATTCCGGAAGGGTGATATCTTGACTGTCATCGAGCAGAACACTGGCGGCCTGGAGGGATGGTGGCTCTGTTCACTCCACGGCCGCCAGGGCATCGCACCCGGCAACCGCCTCAAACTGCTAATCGGACCAATGTTTGAAGGACCCTGTGCATCCCCCTCCCCCCCACAGGGTCATGCCCTCCAGCAGAGGCCACTCACACCTCAGGGTGTGTACCAGGTGCCGCCGTCCCACCAGAACCCGCAGGGACAGGGCATCTACCAGATCCCTCCATCTAAAGACGTGTACCAGATTCCACAAAGAAGCGCGCTGACTGCGGATGGGACTCCCAGCAAGGTAAACTGAACTACAGCAAAGATGTTCACTTCTTGCTTTATGATAACACTTGTGGTGAACGTGTGACATATGTTGACAAGGTCAAACGTTCATCTACTGTAGTGTTTGATTGTGCAACATACTTTTGCTCTTGCGTTTTTTCACTCTTACAAAGAAGTACTGTGGTGAAGTATTGGAAATACCATGGCATTGTTATATGCAGCACTAGTCAAAAGTTGGAACTACTTATTCTTTATTTTGACTATTTTCCACAATTTAAAATAGTTGAAGTCATCAAAATGACGAAATAACACAAATGTTAGTATGGAAATTACAGCTTTACACTCTTTGGACATTCCGTTGACTTGCTGAGGCATATCTTGGGATGTATAGACCATGGTGACTCATGATTATCATATTCATATATGTGGTTCTTTAAAAGGATATTAAGCTATTTCCATTATGAAAAACCATGCAAAAACTAAGGTACTTTTTCACTTACTGGTTTTAGAAAGAATAATAAACATTTATAATTATGCATTTTATAATTTTAAATATAATTTTATATATTATATAAGAAATAATAATACTAGCTATTTACGGTGACTGGTTGACCCATAAGCCAGTTTTATAGTCCAGATTAAAAGCGTCTCCATGTCCGGCCAAAACCGTTCTGCATCGAAGTTGTGTGCACACCCTGCCCTGCCCTCCACCGCAGCGATGCAGGCTTTTATGTTTAAGGGCTTCATACTGTCCTGTCGATGCATCGGTCTGCACCGGTGCACTCTGAATAGGAAAACCACAGCAGGGATGGAAAAATAAATAGAGATCAGGCTGCTGAGAAAGTGTATGTCAGTGGGAGTAAAGGGATTTTTGTGTCATTCTTAAAAACGATCAGCTTATTTTCATGCAACACTTAAAGTTGTCTTTCTACGAACCACGTATCTGGCAGTTCTCAACCTTTTTTTAAAGACACAGAATAAGACTGCAGGATTTGGGCCAAAAACAAGTCATATTTTATTATTTATTTATTTCATACAATAGCGTTGTTTAAAATATTTATTTTTATTGAAATGTGAAATATTTAATTTGAAAGAACTGCTGTATGATAAACATGTAACATTTCATATTGCGGATGATAATTAAAGATGAATATAATTCAGATTCAGCTGTTTTTCCAATTTGCCACTTAGATACGGACACTGTAGACATATCTTGTGTTCATAAACACTAGATGAAAACATCACTCAGGCAAACTCATAACACTGAGGTCATGTCTGGGATCGTCGCTTTAAAGTAGAGGCTCTGTTTTTGACATTAAGAGTTTAGAGAGCTACTAGTCTCTGAGATCAGGAGTGTTGATGGTTAAGCTTACAGTCTATCCCACCTCAAATGATCTTGAGATGGATGATCATGAGTTTGGCTTCCATGGATATAGGGCTGTCTTGTCTTCAGCGAGGTTTGTCTGGCTGGTTTGTTTGGTGGTGTTCAGAGTAATGGCACACCTTGTTTGTTGTTTTCCTGAGGTTGGCATAACAGTTGGCCAACTCTTATAAGAGTGAGGTAAGAGGGTGTTCCCACATCTGTAAATGCAATGCTCAGTCGACGTTTCTCTGACATCAAGTGCATTAAAAAGGTGTGGCATAGTGGAAAGTGCAACTGAAACAAAGTTTCCTTCCTGCTCTCACTTCCTGTGCTGAAAATAAAAGTGATCCCCTTTTTAGAGCTATTGCTGTAAATGGTGACGTGATTTTGATCAGATTAGGGTGCAGTTTAGATTTTCCATGTTGATTGTTCTTCATTGCTGCATCTATGTGCATGCTTACTAGCAAGGAACATCCTGACCTTCACAGTTCGGCCAAATCAAAGAAGTTCAAAATCTAGTAGAAGTTCAAGTACAAACAAAGCAATTCATGTGACAACTGATGAATTACGTTTAATTCACATTATGTCTACAAGTTTCACTTGTACACTTAACACTTAATCTTTGTTGAAAACCACATTTTTTACCTTTACTTTTGTGATTGACCATATTAAAAATGGCAGCGGTTTCACTAGTTAGGCCAACTCCTACCATTTTAATGTCAATAAATATTTAGCTAACACATGTAGAGATAAACTAGCCCTTGTGCTGGGTTATCATTTTCCTAATTTGGTGCTCCTGATAAAAAATGACCAGCCTTCAAATATCAAAAAGGTCTTGGATTCAGTCTTTTTGTCAACTTGCTTTATTTCAATTAGCACAGGTTTGTATTTCTTTTTGGAATGGATTGATCGTAGGCCTCATTGATCTGAGCTTATGCACTTAAGTTATTGAGTAAAAAAAAAAAAAAAGCTTATTTGTAGACAGTTTTGGCAAAATACATTTCAAAACTGAGGTGCATTAGCTCAGATCAATAAGGCCTATGATCAATCCATTCCAAAAATAAATACAAACCTGTGCTACTTGAAATAAAACAAGACGGAATCTTGTTCTAATCCATTTGATAATAATGTAGCATAAGGAATGTATAAGCTATTTTTTGCAGGCCGGTCATATTTGACCTGGGAACACATGTGTAACAAGGTGGAAAACAAAATCCCAAAAAAGTACAAAAATTATCCAAAATGTTTTGAGCAGTTGTTATACCCTAGGTGTAAGCAGGTTTAGAAAAAAATACAAATCATTTCCGAGTCAAAATGAGGAGGGTTAATTTACAATGTATTTTTTTTTCTGTCATCAACAAAAAGTTGCACATGGATCCATTTGAGCTTTTTTAGACTTGCCAGACAAATACTATCTGAGAACCTGAACAGCTCTAAGTTGTCATCTTGTAATTATGGTGGTTCTGAAACAACATGAACACAGTGTATCTTACTAGGTCTAATTCTAGAACTTCAAGTTCTCAAATGTTTCATTTGAATCCAGAAAGTGTCTATTTGTGCTGTAGTACGGTTATGCTTGTGGTTGATGTGTTTGTTGCTGGCACAGAACAGGATTTGGGCAAATAATGACACACTGTAAGGTTTGGTTGCTGAAGTCTGGCTCTTTCGAGGAGGGCGGCTCTGTCCCCGCTTGACTTGAAGAGTACAGTGATCCAAAGCTGCTCACAGCTGCTCTATTCATGCCAGCCAGAGCCTGGCTCAAGCAAGGGCCGTCTCTGAGATTTACACAACCACACAATGTCCTTCACAGAGCTGGGCCTTATGAGTAGAGATGAGATCTCTCGTCCCATTGCTGCCCGCGTCTGGTTGACACTACAGATCGATAGTGTTTGTGAAGTGAAGAATATTTTGTGACTTCATATACAAACAGTTCCACATCCATATTAGTGAAAATTGTAAGCTTCGACGTTTTCAGACTCAAGTGGAATTTTTTAGGGCGTTTTTAAGATTAACGTTTCTTTATGAGTCACATCATAAATCATAATTTTCTGACCACTCTATGGGCAGAGGCTGTCTGTTATCTCCGCTAACCAGGTTGTGTTCTCCTCCTTCCGTCTATATCTCAGACGGCTAGTCCAGATGTTTTTGTTTGTATACCTCAGTCTCCAGGAGATATCGTAAAGATTTGTTGGAAGTGTAGGCAGATGACATGCCACCACACCCTGGACAAGATCGCAACGTAGTAGAGCATTATTTGTGTGACTCACACTTGGTACTTCCTCATTTCTACTTTGCATTATACATTTAAAAAATGTGTTAATATATTAATAATTTTATAATATACAAAATCTACATTTATTTTCTGTAAATATTTATAATTATTTAGAAGATGACTGTAATACATGTCATGTAATATATATTTAAAACATATATTACATTAAAACTAGGGATGTAACGATTAACCGCGAGCCGGTTGAAAATCGATTCAAATATGTGACGATTCAAATCGGTTGAGATGCTAAACAAATCACGATTCATTTAGGGGTAGGAGTTTATATGAATGCATGTCTGAGGGGAACTTACTGTTTTTAGAAAAGTTTAGATGGTATTTTTTCTTTTCATCTTGCCTCTGTATAATGCATATTAAAGGTGGGGTAAGCGATTTCTGGATTTGAAACTCTGGACATTTGAAATCACCAAAAAAAACACGCCCTACCCCAAAAGGGTCTCGCCCCTATTTTGACAGCTCCGCCCCAAAACATAGGTACGCAACCCAGGCAACGATTAGTTCTGTGAAACAAAGCAAATTCAATGTTACACGTGTCTACACCGGACGCGAATGGTGCGGCGCGACAAAATACTATAGAACTCATTATAATCAGTGTATATATATACATATCTATGGTCTACACTGGATGCGGCACAACACGACAAATCCCAGACAGAAAACTGCTGCTGCGTTCTATTCATGACGTATTGACACACATTTCAAATGATTTTCAACAGTCGCTTTGTCGCGTCCAGTGTACTAGACAGACTTTAGCTGTTGTGGCGAGACACAGTGTTACTCACCTATCGAGAAGAAACAAAGCAACCTCGGCGTCCGATCGCAGGCCTTCCGCTCCTTGAGTTCTCTCCAGCGCTGGAAAGCTGATCCGATATTTACATGGGTCCTACTTCTTGCCTTATTGCTTTAAGCCTTCTTTTGTTACACAGACATTTTCCTCTTTTGTTTTTTATCCGCCATCTCTATCTTTCTGTCGCTCGGCTCGGACTGAACCCTCTCTCCTCCACATCATGAGTAGACACGCCCCTTATTGCTGATTGGCTACAAGTTTGTTTTGCTATTCGGCTCGAATCAGTTTTGTAAAGCGTTTTTGAAAAATCGCTTACCCCACCTTTAAAGTTCATAAGTGCAGCGCTGCTTTGTTTACAGCGGAAACCAAGGAAACGCTTTAAGCACCACCTGCTGGCAGAGAGTGAATCTGCATCTCATTCAGCTCGTCCGCTGTTTCATGCAGATATTTTTATGTATAGTTTCACAAAACTATATATGTGTATATATATATATATATATATATATATATATATATAATTTTTTATTTAATAATAATGGAATTTTAAATTGTATATATACACATACATATAAATACAGT